CGAACGACAATGGCTAGGGAATTGGTTATGTCAAGAAGAGTACTATAAGTGTTTGGATGCTGGTAGCCATAAGCCAATGGCATGTCGCGCGCAAGACAGCTTACGCCAGATACGAATGCTGGTACCCTGCGCCCAAACGGGGCCTCAGTTCGCAGCGACTCGTCCGCGGCGGGGATTAGGCCGCCCCGGCCACCACCGCGGCCACAAGATACAAATTATCTCACCAAAGCTCCGAACGGCCCGTCCGCAGATTGCATTCCATCCTCGACGACCGTTTTCTCGTACTTTTGCATGCTGAATGCTAATAACATCCGGCACAGAACAGTCGTCGGCGGCGCCGGCTGGCGGTCAGATTCGCCGGCGACAGCTCCATGGGCGGCCGTCGGTGACGACGGAGGACGCAGCGGCGCAATCGTAAAGCTGCAGCCATTTCGCCTGCGGCAGCGGGCCCAGCGGCCGCTCTGTGCGGCAGAACTGTGCTGTCGCACAGGTCCATTTACCGCCGCGTTTGGGCGGAACCATTTTCCGCGTCGTTAACGCCGAATGGAGGTCAGAAAGCGGCTATGAGGCGCTGAGTATTTTCTGGACGCCTGAGATATTTCACGGGGCTTGAGTTGAGCAGATGGCGCCTTAAGCTGATGTCCGAGAAACGGAACTTAATATGTGTGACGCGTGTGCAGCTCTCTCCATGTGGAGCTCGGCAGAGTGGAGCGATTGTGCGCGCTTTGTTCGCGGGCGTAATTTGCCAACCGTCTCGTCATTTACGCTACAGGCGGGCTAATGCTAAAGCTGGGACTGCTTAAGAAAATGTTCGTAAATTTCGATGTGTCAGTGATCCGTATGTATTCCGCTTTTAAGGATGATGTTCATGCTCCGTTGGCACTTGACCCGTCCCGGCAAATATAGGCAGAACCGTTATAAATTTCGTCACAACTTTAAATTGAGAGGGCATATCCAGCCCGATATATCTCGATAAATAATCAACGTAAATAGCCAGACCTCTGAAGGCGTACGAAACAAAGTTATCACTGACATATAAATTACATCGCTTGTTGGAAATTGGCTATTGGCCAAGGTACATTCACGACAGCTATATATCATTCCTTAGTTGTCCTGCCTAACCGGCTCCAGCTCGGCCAAGGGCTGTCAACAGCTCAGACAAAACCCACGCGGGGCAGAGTAGGACACATGACGAACACTTAGTGATGCCCTTTGGAGACCAGTGACCTCCCACTCGAATACATTACGGAGCGAACGCTGCCTACAGGATGTTTTATGCTTGCTCGAGTAGACTAATGGAGCACATTATGATTTCGACACCCTTCGTGCAGAAAGAGCAGCGGTATTTTCTCCTAACGATAGAATGTCAATCATGAATAGAGATTTTTGAGAGGGCTGCTTGGAAAATCCAATAAGTAATCACGACAAAAGCTGACCTTAATATACCTGTCATGACGAAGCTTGCACACGTATCGCTAGTCACTGTACTGGATAATTAGTGAATGGTGTTCGTCACCAGATTCCAACATCTTCAATCTTTCACGATGGTCAGCCTCGGGAGAACTTGGACAAAGCTCGGAAAGTTGGTAGCATAACCTGTCTGAGACTGAAAAAACAGATAAGCATAACCTGACTGGAGCAATGATTAGACTGACGCCTGATAGAAACAGAGCCTTATTAAATTCCTAGAGGGGCAAATGCGATTTTTCAGCAATCGTGTAACCGTGGCTATAATTTTATTATAATAAGCGCATAGTTGGTGGTCTGCATATATCGTTGACATGGAGAAAGAGCTTTGTGGATAGCTTTGTGGATCATCTCTACTCGGATGCACGTCCAGCATCCGCGCCAAGCGAGTCTCTCGACGAAAACGCGCACAACTTCCGGAGAAGAATGACACTAACCAATGTACGTCTAGTTCTGGACAACTCGTGTCGGCTCGAGGCCTACATCCTGCCGAGAAATCGAGTGCTGCTGTCTGATTTTCCAACCGAACTAGCAGCCACTGACCCCTGAGGCTCGTCTCTAAATGGCTGGCCCCTGTGATCTTGACAGGCCAAATAAATCGAGAAGTAACTCCGCTCCAGTCGGAGGCACCGCAACCCCGCGCTGGTAAGGCAAAGTCGGTGGGAGCTCCAGGGACCTGATCAATCGGTCGGTGGTCTACGCCTCTCTGCGTCTCGTCTCTCGGCGGCGCCATCGGCACTTGGTAAAACTGCATGGTCAAACTGAAAGCTCCGCAACTAAACACGGAGATGGCTGCATGAGATTTCACGATATCACCCCGACACCCGGACCCAGGACAGTGTGCTCATTATGAAGTCCTCCTAAAGCACGGGTTGTACTTTACAAGGTACATTCATTCATATTTCAGCGTGACATGAAAAGGCTCATTCCACTGAAACGACACCTGTTATCTCAGCTGGATCAAAAGGTCAGCTGGCACGTAAAGTGAAATGTTAAAAAATGTAGCCCCATCTGTGTGCGAAGTGCAAATCCGGCAGTCATTGCTACTTGTCAAATGTGCAAAAAGCGAAAAACTTATTGATTCAAACTCCTTTTGGATTTTTCCTTGTCTTCAGGACAGGTTGCTTAAAGCAGCGTTTTATGAATTGTTGTGACAAATTGTGCTTGTGGGTATGTGGCTAATATTTCAAAGCTTCACAGGAAATTTGTGACATATTGACACAAATGGAGAAAAGGGTGCTAAATCGAGCAAACAATTTTAGGCTTCACTTCAATTTTGTGTCAAGTAACCACAACGTCGTACCATATAGAAACACCTGCAACCCTTCATGGTCCAGAGAAATGGGCTCAAAGTGGGTCGCGATGGAAAAGCAGGACAGCCTTCACATTTTGTCTCAGCGACTGGTCAGGGCTGCTCTTTGGCACCTCAAAGAAGGCACTGCCGGCCACGGACGGCTCGCCCGACCGATGACTCGCGGGCCCCTCGAGCGGTGAGGCACGGGACACCCGAGCCTGTTCCGTCGGGCGCCGGCTAGACGGCACCGTCTCGACCCACAGCACCCAGCGACGGAAGGCCGACCGGACCCACAGACCCAGCTACATCATTTGCTACAGCCCTACAACGCCACGTCGCTGCAGATGGCATGACGTGCTCGGCCTGGCGCGGCAGCTCGGCACCGCAGCCAGTCCCAGACCAGCGGCAGCTAACACTCCGCCGCGCGGCTGCATGAGGAGAGGTCGCTGCTGGTCCCCAGGGTCGCGGTCCGTGACTGCCGGTCCCCAGGGTAGCGGTCCGTGACTGCCGGTTCCCAGGATCGCGGTCCGTGGCTGCCGGTCCCCAGGGTAGCGGTCCGTGGCCGCCGGTCCCCAGGATCGCAGTCCGTGGCTGCCGGTCCCCAAGATCGCGGTCCGTGACTGCCGGTCCCCAGGGTCGCGGTCCGTAGCTGCCGTTTCCCAGGGTCGCGGCCCGTGGCTGCCGGTCCCCAGGATCGCGGTCCGTGGCTGCCGGTCCCCGGGATCGCGGTCCGTGGCTGCCGGTTCCCAGGATCGCGGTCCGTGGCTGCCGGTCCCCAGGGTCGCGGTCCGTGGCTGCCGGTCCCCAGGGTCGCGGTCCGTGGCTGCCGGTCCCCAGGATCGCGGTCCGTGACTGCCGGCCCCCGCGCCACTGACCGCGCCGGCCCGCCCTGGGCGATCGCCGCCGGCACGTCCGGTGGCGGCGCCACCCATTTCCGGCCGGGCCCAGACCGTCGGATCAGGTCCCAGCTGGCCGGACGCTCCCGCCTGCCCCACTCGTCTTCGATGCAATGAGTGGCGCCCACTGCCGTAAATTCGGTAAATATTTGGGGAAGGTATTTACGAGGCGGCGGCGGCCGAAATTGCGGCGTGCGGCGGCCGCGTGACCGCGCCTCCGAAATGGCGCCAAGTTGAGCGAGGTGGCGCGAAGTGAGGGCCGGACGGTCGCTCCGGCATGACCATGTCTGTCGCGGTGTCGCAGCCCCGCAGAGGGCAGCCGTGGGCGGTGATCATCCGCCTCGATGTCACGTCGTTCGGCGCGACGGCGTTGGCAGCTGGCCTGGGAATGGAGGCGGCTACGACTTCAGAGCGCCGCGGTGCCTGCGACCTGAGCAGTGTCTTTGATGGGCGCCGACACTTAAGCACCAGTCAGGCAGGCATTACAGACGAGACATCATCAGGCCGAGCCAGTGGTAAATTGAATAAATGCTGCAGCCCAAAGCAGCATCCAGGTAGGGGATCGTTTTCGGATGCATGGATGGTATTGGTTTAACTATCTAATACCACTTTTATAAATAATATATATCATATTATCAGATATATGAGTGTTGGTACTCAGAGCATTAAGTATTGAATGACCCGCTTTGAGATAAGTTTTACGGTTTCAAACGTATGTAGTCAACATGTAAAAATCAATGTAACAAATTGTGATTAATATCGAGGATACTGATACTTAGCATTGATAGCATACAATTTGCGCGGTTTTCTTCAGAAACGTTGCGATAAAGACGACCCAATACATAGAGGCGATCCAATATGTTCTGATGCGTGGCATGCAGTGTGTGGAAAAGTACTGATGGCTAATTAGATTAATCCAGAACATGCCTCTCGTCAATTAGCAGTTCACAGTAAATTGTGGAGGCAGGGTATTGCAAACTCCATTTACATGCAGCTTTCATGAACACGGTTATGGCTATGGCCGCGTGATATGTGCTCGGGTCGACCCAGGCGACTCTTAGCTTTACCATTTGCATGAGACCTTTATCGACCCTCATGTTTGCCCCCAGCCCTCTCCTAACCCCCCCCCCCCCGCAACTCATTGCAGCGGTACGTTTTTTCACGAAAAGAGCTTTCGTTGCTTCCTCAGTCTGAGGGTTATGGACAGGTCTGTGGACCACCATGAAAGCCACATCAGCTGTGAACTGCATAGCACCGGAAAACAGCTTCTTCCCCGCCAAAAAAGGAAGTCAGCACGATGGATGTCGCGACCGGGCTGCCAGCGTCCCGGAGCAAACACTCACCAGTCGTTAGCCGCCTGGATGACGTTCTGTTGTTGTTGCTGCTGTTGCTGTTGCTGCTGGTGCTTATTCTGCTGTTGTTGCCGTTTCCTGCCTGTCTGTGTCGGCTTTGGCTCTGCCACCATGTTGACATCTGCGGCGGGAGCACCGCTCAGGATTGTGTGCTTTAACACACCTATTCAGAGCCAAACAGTGTGGGTGCAGATCCAGCGCTGGACAGGATTGGTCATGAGGGCCGGGGCTTACTCGCCAAATTGACTAAGGATGCGCTTTTTCTTAAGGTGGCCCTCGATAATCTAGGCATCGTGCATAATGTTACGCCAGGCATTGTAAGAGGGGTGTTGAGAATCGGACGGTCTGAATGTTGAGAATCGGTCGGAGACCATGTTTCCTAAGATATACATATAATGTAGTTAAAAAACATTATTATCAATGCATCAACATTCTTCTTTCCGTGCTAAATCCCTGTACGACATTCGCGGCGGGTGAACTCATTGCGCAACAGGAGCTGTAATCTGGGCTCATTCTGGCGCATTGAATGAACCAAGTACCCTCGGAGACATGCGCATGTCCCAAGAGATGCGCAGGCTGGATGATCCTGGCGAAAGTTCATGGTGTCGACCATGACAAACAGACGCTAATGGCCGGTGGTTACGAGTCGACAAGCTTCTGAGGACACAACCCCGGCCGCGGTGACCAGACGGTTATATACCGCGCCACAGGCTGACCGACTCAGACGTCGCAGAAGTGGGGTTTGTTTATGGGGCTGGGCGGCGGTATCCGGATGATTTGTTGGCCTTCTGGGCCGGCGCGGCGGCCGTTTAGAGTCTCTGGTGTGGAAACAGCGAACTGCGCGGCATATCTCAACAGCGGCAAGATGCTTTGCAGCGCCGCGTTTATGAATCTAGCAGCAGAAAACGGGCTGCAAACTTACACATCATCCGTGTAATGAAACCTAACATTTTTAATAAGGCCCAAAATATAAAGGAGCATACGACATCTGAAGCGGTTCTATATGAGGAGGAAAGCGAGGCAACAAAGACACCAGAATGACAAGGCCCTTAACAGAATCGTCGATTCTGTCGCCGAATGTCAACGAATAGTGCTACGGGGAAAGAAAGACTAACCACTTACCTAGAACCTGTCCGAATATACTTCTGGCGTCTTCCCCCATACAAGCCGAGCGGGCGTCGAATGGGTTTGTAAACTGGATAAACGCGAAACCTTTGTGCATGGAGATCCCTGGAAAAAGAACACCATAATCAGGCGCCAGTCCCAGTCAGTTGCTTGCTGTGATGCTGTTAAGTGAGAGAATAGCATAGGCACTCGCTTCAGGATCGTAACCGCTTAGAAAGAATGGACACAGAGAAGGGCAAACAGGCTGCGCAGGCAGAAAGTTCAGGTATTTCCATATTCGGACGGTATCTTCTTTTTTGCCAGTTGTTTGTGCTTGTTGCAGTATTTCTACAATATTATATTCTGATCATGAATTCCGTGGAACCCTGAAAGCATTTCCGCCAGCGATACGGTAGCATTTCCTGTCATTGTGTTACCGCAAATAAGCTGTAGAAAAAACCAATAGCGACACATTTTCCTTGCTTGCCACTTGCAGAATAAAACTACCGCTCTTCCGAATTGCAATTTTCTTTTCACTCTAGCAATACTCAAGTCCTTTATGTTTGATGGCTTCGTTTTTTTTATCATGTAGTTAAGTACACGATACATTGGAAAACGTTTTGTCGACGTAAAAAGCTGTGCTCGCGAAACCCATTCATTTCAGTGCTACCGCACAAACGCTGTAGACTGATGGCGAGCACCGTATTCATGTACGTCGCCGTCGCGCTCGTTCTCATGAACATCGCATCATTAAGTTTCGTTGAGATGTCGGAGCCACACCATGTAACAATTTGCTGGCACAAAAGCTCAGATTATGTAGAAAGACAATCACGATTTGCATTTGTGGGGTACTCACGTATTGCGGAGCAAGAATGCCGCTTTGGAGTGTATTTGGAATATAACTTTCACTTCGTCCAAGAAGAAACAACATTGGAATGCTTTATTGACGTGCCTAATGTTTGTTTTAATTACGTCGCTAAGTAGGCAGAAACCTGTAATATTGACAAAACTCTTGCCCGATACGCATTTAGACTCGGTGGCAAGTACCGTGTTCAAAACTTCATGCCTCTCTTACCATGTATCGCGGAACCACAGTATCATGCCAGGACAAAAGTATTCATCCTAAAGCCACATTTTTATGGCAAAACCACATTTGGACCTAAAAGGTGCCTTTGGAGGTCAGATCATGTTAGTGAACTGCCACAATTGGTAACAGATTTTTGGAAAGCAAGTTAACAAAACGACAAGTAAAACAGTTCAGATGCAGTAAGTGAATGACTAAAACGAGTGGACAAACGCAGTCACACAGGTGGGACCAGATCCAGCCTTATCTTTTTCACTTGTGTGTACTACCCTTCATGGGTAAGATATTTTTTCCCAATCCACCGCTACCCATAAGGCTGTACCCGTGTTCACACGCTACCCATTTCTAATCAGTTGTACATGCTCGTTACCAGCGCGTTGGCATTCTTTCCACCACTTAGCACACACACACACACACACAACACACACACAACACCACCACACACCACACACACCCACACACACACACCCACACACACACACACACACACACCCACACACACACACACACACACACACACACACCACACACACACACAACACAACACACACACCACACACACACACACACACACACACACACACACACACACACACTCACACACACACACACACCACACCACACACACACACACACCACACACACCACACACACACACACACACACACACACACACACACCACACACACCACCACACACACCCACACCACACACCACACACACACACACCACACACACACACACACACACAACACACACACACACACACACACACACACACACACACCACACACACACTACACACACACAACACACCACACACACACACACACACACACACACACCAACACACAACACCACACACACACACACACACACAACGCACACACACACACACACACACACACACCCACACACACACACACACACACACACACACACACATATATATATATATATATATATATATATATATATATATATATATATATATATATATATATATATATATGCATGGGAGATTTAAGGGAAAGCTTACATGTATGCGTTGATAATTACACAGGGGATGTGAATGGAGCTAGTTATGATTAAATAAAACGCAGGCAGCAACATTGTGCTGCATTTGTTGACGCATCTGCCCGACATTTCGCAAATGCTTTACCCACACCAATCACCATAACCATAACTTTCCCAAAATATTTACCTATCCCAGCTCTTGAGCCATTTCATATGGATACCCATGGGTTCACTCAACCCGTGGATCCCTCTACTTGTTTACTGTCAGCTTGTTTGCATATAATTGGGGGATCTCCCACAATCGCAAAAACAGTCTGTCAAACAAAAGCTGAACAAAATCTTCGTAACTGTGCAATGCTTGTGTTATTTTATGCCTCACAAAACATCTTGAAATATGTTAACCAACTCTAAATGCATGTAAAACAATGCATCCAATTGTAGGGCGTTAGTTCATCTATGAAACGCACATGTCACGATGCGGCGGAATCACCTGAAGCGGGAATCCGCGCAGCGTAACACGGACACTGTAAGTGAAAAACCAAACCAAAGAAGGGCTCCATTTACTGAATTGCATTTATAGCGCGTTCAACACAAGATTCCACTTACTGCATGGACCATACAATCATTACGTTAAGTTATTGCTGGACAAGGTACTTATCGAGCTGGATAGAGAAATCACGGAGAAACCCTACGTTCGAAACGCTGAAACAAATAGCGGCCCTCAGACAACTCCGTTCACACCTGAAAGAGCCCGCTGGAGGCCAGCTGCGGCAGCGGTGCCTTTCTTCGCAGAGGTGTGACGTCGCCCTCCAGCCGCATCAGAGCCGTCCGATGGCAGACGGGTGGGGCGACGAGGACCGACCGACACCCCGACCCTCTGCTATCGTCGCATCGTGCTTAGTTAAAGGCCGGCACGACAGTTACCATCTACTGTGCGGAACGGCCGCCCTGCGGAGCACCGTAGCGTGGCAGTCGAGACGAGGCTGCTGGGCAGGGCTTTAGCACCATAGCGTGGCAGTCGAGACGAGGCTGCTGGGCAGGGCTTTAGCACCATAGCGTGGCAGGCGAGACGAGGCTGCTGGGCAGGGCTTTAGCACCATAGCGTGGCAGGCGAGACGAGGCTGCTGGGCAGGGCTTTAGCACCGTAGCGTGGCAGTCGAGACGAGGTTGCTGGGCAGGGCTTTAGCACCATAGCGTGGCAGTCGAGACGAGGCTGCTGGGCAGGGCTTTGTACCGTAGCGTGGCAGTCGAGACGAGGCTGCTGGGCAGGGCTTTAGCGCCGTAGCGTGGCAGGCGAGACGAGGCTGCTGGGCAGGGCTTTGTACCGTAGCGTGGCAGTCGAGACGAGGCTGCTGGGCAGGGCTTTAGCGCCGTAGCGTGGCAGGCGAGACGAGGCTGCTGGGCAGGGCTTTAGCACCGTAGCGTGGCAGTCGAGACGAGGCTGCTGGGCAGGGCTTTAGCACCGTAGCGTGGCAGTCGAGACGAGGCTGCTGGGCAGGGCTTTAGCACCGTAGCGTGGCAGTCGAGACGAGGCTGCTGGGCAGGGCTTTAGCGCCGTAGCGTGGCAGTCGAGACGAGGCTGCTGGGCAGGGCTTTAGCACCGTAGCGTGGCAGTCGAGACGAGGCTGCTGGGCAGGGCTTTAGCACCGTAGCGTGGCAGTCGAGACGAGGCTGCTGGGCAGGGCTTTAGCACCGTAGCGTGGCAGTCGAGACGAGGCTGCTGGGCAGGGCTTTAGCACCGTAGCGTGGCAGTCGAGACGAGGCTGCTGGGCAGGGCTTTGTACCGTCAATTCCGAAAATCACATGACGTCATGGCTGGCTGAATTTGGGTGTGGCGGACCATCGGAGGCATTAGAAGGGCAATGATGGCCCCAACCGGACTTCGAGATTGGGGACTCTTCGAAAAGGTCGTAAAAGCCTGTAAGGTAATTGCAATATGTAACCTTCAGATTAACTTCGGGCTTTATTGCCATGCACGGGCTAGAATACGTGTATAGGGCACTGTAATAAACATTGCGGGAAGAGATGTTGCAAACCTGCAAATTTACGAGAGTTTTGATCTACATGATATTCATCACGTGCAGGCGCAACATGCTTCAAGCATTAAGCTGTGTAGCTTTTGCAGCTTTGGTCCACAAGTCAAGTCAAGCAAAGAAGCCACGTCGCCCTTTCTTATATATCAGAGGCTGAGTTGCAATTAGCGTTTGCATCAGAACCTATTACATTCGCGAAGTGTTCCGGATATTAATGTGTCCGTAATCGAAAAAGCTCTGAGACCCAGTGGTGTGTAACGCTGAACATAACTGCACCAACCACCGAACGTTACGCTTCTGAGCAAAAGTGGAAGAAAGAGAGCTGCGTCACAGCTCTGAACTCTCGGTGCAATCTGGCACCTTGATAACGTGAAATGAATTAATGGCATTGGAATATCACTTCCACAAGGCATTACCACAACGGCATAATGAACTAACTTACAGCCCCGATTGCCTCCGGATGAAAAGACGCAATCAGAAGCGCTTTGACGACGGATCATACTGCGCTTCCAACTGTTTGTTTTTTTACTTTTAACATGGATCTTTAAGTGGATAGGAGTAATGGACAAAACATTCCCTGAGGGAGAAGGTCGGGTGTGGGGAGGGCATGGGGAATACCAACACCGGTATGCATTATCTGATGGAGCAGATGGACATTAGACGCTGAGAGTGGTGTACGCTATCGTGTCAAAATATACTGGGGCTCTGTCTCCGGAGCATCGCAGGATCTGGCGCCTGGCGCTGAAACACGAGATGTCTTCACTCGAATTTGACCAAGATACATCACACAAATGCCTAAGCGTACTCAGCAAGCGTGTGCCGATGATGTCAGACGTCACCTTCATAGTTCATATGCGACCGTCATCTTTATATATAGAATGCAAACACCGTGTTTCGCGCCTCATCGAGCAATCAGCGCTAACCGGTATCTTTTGACGCTCTCTGACCTTGATGCGTCAGCTGGCAGCAATGTCCCGCCATTGTATAGACGACGTCGATACCGGTGTATTCCAGAGCCTTGCTGTTATGAGGTCGAAATTTTTGCATATTAAACGGTCATGTGATGCAATTTCGCTGCTTTAAGACTTTCGTTGGTGTTCAGGGGTCTTTAGACGGTTTTAATGCCAGGGAAACCAACACCGCCGCGAGTCCCGAGGCGCAGATGTTAAGGGGGGGGGAGGGAGACCCCATTAGGTTTGATTCCAATAAAACATACAACACAGAGGTTAGGCCGGCTTGATAAGGGCAGTGACATCATTTGTTATTGGAATTTGTTCTGAGCGGATGTGCTCTAGCCATGCTCATGTGCTGTCGTTACGTGTGTCAAAGGCATTATGCATAGCGTCGCCACGATGACGTCCTATCTCGATCGGATATCAATATCTCGGGAAACAGAGCATTTAATGGTGAGTGGGAGAGCGTGCAGGTCGTAAAAATGTCATCAGTAATTATTTACGCAAATTTAGCTGGCGCGTATCGGGTCAATAACAGCCGAGTGCATTAATGCACTGTGGAGGGAATATTCCGATGCAATACATTCCTTCTTAATGATTGTCAGAATGCAAACTAAGCTCCGGCATCGCAAAGCATCCCCATGGCGTGGTCACACGGCTCGTCCAGCGTCTCGGACGCAACTCAACCGCAAGTGCCGTCCAAAACAAAACCAAAGTAAGCCACGTGTGCTCAAAGTGAGATCCAAGACAGCTCGGTCGCCGCAACGGATGTCAGACCTAAAGTATGCTCAGATTCAAATGTCTGCCTAAATGAATTTTGATATTCAGGCATACAAAAAAGCCGTAACGGATAAGCCGCAACCAATCATTTACAAATGTGACGAAATGGGCTGCTCACTGGGCATTTAAACGTAAAACCAAAATCTTTTCGGGCTCCTCTGCTCTGAAGCAATGCCCAGAGTGATCACACTCTTTGTGTAGCGGAACCATAACTGTCGCAAAGTATAGCCCATTCAGCAAACGCATGACGGGAGTCGGCTGAGCACTTCATAGCCTGCGGATATGTAAACGCGTCTAAGTCGCGTCAAAAACGCCCGTGTAAGCAGACCATCACATAGCTTATGACGAACGTATGTACTGCGCACCACCGCTTAACCTGCTAAGTCGCACCCCTCAACGTCCTCCAGCCATCACCAGTGACGTCCGATCCCGCGTCTGCCAGGACGGCGAGTCGATGACGTCACGAAACGTCACTGGCTTGTAACTGCGTCGCGGGATGTGCTCACAGCGTGCGCCGGGCGGGTCTGGAGAGTCAGACTGCACGCCCAGTCCCACACGACGTCGACCAGGTCGTGCTGGTCGTTTACACAGAACAGTTCAAAATGGTCGGGTTAAAAAAGAGGATTAAGGTGACGTGACTTGATGATAGTCTTTGTAGCAACGTCAGGATTCGAGAAGCGACGCTGAATGCAGTTGGACAGTGCAGAACCAGAAAAGACCAAGTTTCTGATTTGGCGGCAGTGTTCGCTCCCCGCCAGTTGTTGTGGTCGGCGCCGAATCTCAACATTTACACTAGCGAGACCAAATGTTGCCTGCCTCAAGGCTGGCGACATACAGACCAAACCGGGAAAGAGAGCTTGCATCAAACCCAGTGTCAGCACTATCCGCTGGCGTTTATGCTCGGCTCACAGGCGTTGTCGATCGCGCTCCTTGCGAGTGCACAATGAATTGCTCGAAATGTGAATGAGGCTTCTGAAATGGTTTTGTCATTGGGTACGAACAACGCAAGTTTACTTCAATTTATCATACACAAAGCCAAAGAGCTGAAAAGCCTTTTCCCTGCACTTGTCGAAAGACTGTTTAAAAGCAATTTTCTTTCAAAAGCACACAAAATGACATTTAAAGGAAACAAACTCTCGGCTACGCATTACTGATAAAGCTGTACGGTAACCATCACGCGTGAGTCTATTATCGCCAATTATTGCACTTACGGAATTGGTACACACCACTGGAACCATTCAAGGTGGTCCGTCTCTGGTCAGCATACCTGATGAGGCTGTCGATAGCTTCGCAAGCACGCTCTGCGTGGCGGACATTGCCGTTGCGCGCTGTACTCGTAAACAAGTTATCGGTTGCGCATTGGAAAGCTTTCCACACAAACAGCTCGGGGACAGGAAGCGCTTGCGTTAAGATAAAATGCCGTGGTCTCCTCCCCGGGGCTGCCGAAGCATCGTTGCATCAGGATCGATCACCGAAAGGAACTTTCCACATGCGTCACCGATGTTATTGGCATCGAACAATGTAACGCTCTGTTACAGTCCTCCCCCGTCGCATTCTGCGGACTCCAGCATCGCAGGATCACCCTGGACAGCGGGCGCGCCCAGTGCTCTGTTACAGTCCTCCCCCATCGCATTCCGCGGACTCCAGCATCGCAGGATCATCCTGGACAGTGGGCGCGCCCAGCGCTCTTGGAAAGCCACATATTCACAGCGCATGTCCCTTAACAGCATTGACGTTACGCTACCACAGAAGTTGGGTGGGCATTACCCCTATCGCTATTGTTGCTACACCTAAGGAAAGCCCAGTGGAGGTGAGTGGCAGGTGTTATGTTAACCAGAAACTGTTAATACTTACTCATAACTTAATGATGCCAGTACATCTGCTGTTACAGTTTTATGCCAGAATTGACTGCCGCCAGCCATGCTGGCTTCTGTGATAGCAGTATTTTCTACTGACCACGATTAGGCGGTGGTAACCAATTTTTGTTACCCATTTCAGCGTTCCTCCTCGCGACGTATACACGCCCGGTTGGCCGATTAAATACCCTTTGCTCGGGTGGGGGTCGATTTAACCCCCTGAGGTCTCAAAAACTGAGATAGTTAGACACACCAAATTCTAGAGTGCGTTGGCCCGTTGGTGAACTCACTTGTGTAAGAATTTGAGGCTCCTAGGTTATGACCTGTGGCCAAATAAGGTCAGACAATGTCAAACTCTAGATCAACATCTCAAGTGCACCCAATCCTCCTCATCTAACCGCCATGAAACGAGATACCTGTTCTAAGCAAACGTTAATTGATGTTCAATTAAGTTCAGTGACCTTGTTCTAACTTTAGAAGGCCAATGTAACCAAATGACTACGAGGTTGCTCCTATTTTTCCATCTGCATAAGCATCAGGGATTACGTTAGGCGGCATGTTCAAAATAACAAAAGGGTGGCATTGATCATTTCAGGTCGGTGGCCTACTCTGACCTAAAAAGGGTCATGGAACCTGTCTGTTGCGGTCCCTGTCATAAAAATGGCAAATGAACGCCAAAAGCTACCCCATTAATCAGGCTCTCAAGTAAAAACAGCGCGTTAGTTTTCACCTCAGCATATCCTTGTACTTGACCCTAGGTCAATGTAGTTAGTTGTAATTTTTAATTTAATTGGTTAATTTCTTAAGAAACAATCAAATATGCACAGCTTTATCTAGCACTCTATTGTTGCATCACATTGAGCAATTCCCTGGAAATACCCTTCACTGACAGGCGCGGCCTGACATTGACCTGCCATAGGTCAGTGACCTTACAATGTACATCTAATGGTTTACATGAAAAGATCCGCTTTTTAATTCCTCACAGTTTGGTGAAGTTTTTCATGATTCCCGTGCTTTCGGAAATCATTTTGGGAAAACTTTCTGGGATCGATTTGGCCCCCGAGCGCGTGTTAAATTGTACGAGGCCTTCGTAGGTCATTATATAAATTGCGTAGGCTTCAAAAACTGAACACGTCCCGATTAAGCCCATCATAGGTTATCATAGTTAAAAGGTCTAGGCCGAGCATTGGTTATCTGCTGGCTCGTTCAACCGCTGTGCGGTCAGTAGTGTCACATCCCCACACACAGACAGTTATGACAGAGTTATGACAGGGTAAGTATCACAGGAGTGTAGATTCCTATCCAGTTGGAGGCTTGTCTGCTCCTCAACTTGGGCTTCTTCACTGCAGTTTTCAAAAGAAAGTAAGGCAATCTGGGAAAAGCCCGTTGGTTGGAGTATTTTTGGGTGAGTTTTGAAACTTGTACTGTTCGTCTCCCAACTCATTTTGCAAGACCGCAGCATACTTAAGCACCCAAGAGTACATTATAGAACCTCCGCAGTACAATACGCCTACACTGGACGAGGTCTGTGCGCTAATCTCAGCATATACTGCCGATCACGCGGCTCGCAGGTCCGGGGGGAATCTCAGCATCGCAGGTGCAATACACTGCCGATCACGCGGCTCGCAGGTCCAGGGGGAATCTCAGCATCGCAGGTGCATAAACTGCCGATCACGCGGTTCGCAGGCCCAGGGCTTCAGCTCACCAGCAATGCGTCCATAGCGCTGGAAGAGCCGCTCCACATCAGTCTTGGTCGCCTGGAAGGTGTTGAGGTTGCCGACAAACACCCGCGAGTTGACAGCCTGGGGGTCTTGCGAGTTGGTCTGGTTGCCCACTTTGATCATCCTGCCAAAGACGAGGCATTTTGTTAGCATGTAGAGACGTGAAATGGGGCATGGAGGCACGAGCACCAACGAAGACCGCTCCACCGGTCTTTGTGCACCAAGCGAGACCGTGACTTGAAGATCTAAGGATCAGAGATGAAGAAATCTGACCCTCCCCGGCCTGCAGCCTAGAGGAGACACATCGTCAACACGGCCCTCTTATCCAACGACTTAGAACATTCGGAGCAGCCTGCACAGCGCAAACCAGCAATCGGCTTTGGCTTTGGCTTCGGCAGTGAGCGCCTCCACTCTCAACGCACGTGAGGCTCGGTGGGCAATCGCCGCACGGTTCGGCGCCTCTGCCCTGCCTCCGCTGAGCGGGCCCGCTATCAGTGGCGGACCGGGCCGCCGGCAGCCTGCCGAGCTCGTGCTGTCGTGATCGCCGGTCTCGCAAACGACCGGCGCCAGCTGCCGTCGCAGCGAGTGAGGCCCGCTAGCGACGCGTCATTGAACGCCGGCCGATGGGAGCAGTGAAGCCGGGCGGCGGCACGGGCAGGGAGGCGAGGGTGGTACGGAGACGGGCGGAAGCGTCACCGAGGCTGGCGCGAGCGGGATGACGGCCGGAGCGAGTGTCACAGAGACCGGCGGGGACAGGGCGAGTACCGGAGGGAGTGTCACAAAGACCGGCGGGGGCCGGGCAAGGGCCGGGGGCCGGGGGAGTGTAACAGAGACCGGCAAGAGCAAAGCGAAGGGTGAAGGAGTGTAACAGAGCGAGGGCCGGGGGAGGGCAACACAGACCGGCGGGGGCAGAGCGAGGGCCGCAGGGAGAGCAACAGAGACTGGCGGGGGCAGAGCGAGGGCCGGGGGAGGGCAACACAGACCGGCGGGGGCAGAGCGAGGGCCGCAGGGAGTGCAACAGAAACTGGCGGGGGCAGGGCGAGGGCGGGCGGCCGGGGAAGTGTAACAGAGACCGGCGGGGACAGAGCGAGGGCCGGGGGCTGGGGAGTGTAACAGAGACCGGCGGGAGCAGAGCGAGGGGTGGAGGAGTGTACCAGAGACCGGCGGGGCAGAGCGAGGGCCGGGGAGGGCAACACAGAGCGACGGGGCAGAGCAAGGACTAGAGGAGTGTAACAGAGACCGGCGGGGGCCCAGGAAGTGACGTAGAGACCGGCAGCAGCGAGATGCGGTCGGGAAGGAGTGTTACGGAGGCCAATAGAGCGGAGCAAACCCAGCGTGTAATGCTCGGCCAAACGTGGATAGCGCAATCCTTTGGCGACGACGGATTGAATAGACAGGGCGACGGTCCATTGAGCGCATGGCATCGGCGGTCAACGTGAAGAGGCAGAAATTTCCCCGTTGGGTGCGCATATATATATATATATATATATATATATATATATATATACATATATCATATATGCGTCATATCAACCAGCTGCAAGGCAGGAACCGACCCTTCTAGTAGAGCAGCATTTTTGCGCAACACGTCGCTCGATTCGAACTTAAGTTTCCTGGTTTGGAACCGGCACCGAGCACCATTTCAAATAAAACAATGTACGGATAGTTTTAGATGAAGATGTATCATTATCGGCATGTCGTCATGATTGGCATGGCACATGCATTTTTCCCCCAGCACATGGAAACCTTTTGCGGGAGATTCTGGAGATTAGAGAATTTTCGGAGATTGCGGGAGATTAGAGGATCCCTTACGAAGCCGCAGCACTAATTGTATGAGCTGAAGTACAACGTGTCGAAGTAAAATAGCATCCGTTTTTCTGCATGCCCGTGTCGGTAGCAACATGCCGTAACAACATGCTGCTTTGTTCCAGACAAAATAAAGGAGCACAGGGTTGCATTTTCGCAAAACTTGTTTGGACACTACAGTGAAAATGACGAAAACTTACCCCCCCCCCCCCCCCCCCCCCCCCCCACCCCCCACATCTGCTAACAAACGCGTTTCTCCCTGGAATTGACCCACTTTCCTATCAAAGATAGGGGACAGGAGCTCAAATTAGCGGGGACCATCTCCCAACTGAATACAAAACTGCACCCCTGAGGGGGCAGTTTTGAGATGGACCCAAACCTGCTGTCGCGGCTGGGCACTGCTGAGGCTTTTGGAATCTGCAAGTGATTATGCCGGGTAGTTAGGCGGGCCCGCACAGCTTTGTGGTTCGGCGGCGCAGCATTTCGTACCCATACGCTGCTCGACCATAGGCGGGCAAAAATGAGCGGTGAGATACTCCATGAAATGCAGTACAAAGCCGGGGAAAATGCTTCTAATCTGAGGAGTTTCTTGAAAATTGAAGTGCTTTGTAGATTCTGTTACCATGTTTTGAGTTTCCTGTTGGAAGGCAATGGCAAACGATAGAAGCGGCGGGAGCAAGATGCTCCCAAACAGATGATGCAAGGCTCCAACCATGCTAGAGAGCTCAGAACTCCTCACAAGCGTACCGATCGCTACCGATCGCTTTGAGTGCACGCATCACAGGCATACACCTCGCTAAGTTTACTGAGACACGTCTTTATCCCTGCCATATTCAGATGCGAAATGAGTTTCGGAGATGCCTTGCATGGGCTTTAAACTGACTTTGAAGACGAAAGGACCTTAAAGCCAGTATTATGTACAGCAGCTGTTGGTCTTCAAATGATTTAACTAAACTCATGTGCTCTTCTCTTTTCATTCATTGTTTTATCTTAAAACCCCACAGCGCCTCATTCATCCGGAGAAACCTGTGCACGTCAGCCATGAGCAGGCCACGGTGCGGCCGGCGGTAGCCCCACCTGAGCGTCCGCACAAATTTGAAGAGGCGTCCCTGGGCGGAATATGCTTTATTGACAGTCGGTTCCCAAATGTATGCAGATTTACCGCCCGCTTTCCACTATTCGTCATTTCATAGCACTCAAAGGGTCATTGCTGACCGACAGGGATCCAATCCTTACCAAACCAATCCAAAGGCTAAGCTCACTGTTTCCGCGAGGGTCCGTCAGGTGGTTAGATATCTCCTCCAAGACCGTGTGTAGTGCTGCGGTTTCAAGTCGGTCGGCAAGCCCCTCCCCCCCCCCCCGTGTCCCCTCCCCCAAATAATAGACGCGAGGGACTGCCTGCCGGTGTGTCAATACACCTCACCTATCACCGTAAGCTTATCACCCTGCTACTACTGTGCCTAGAGCACATTTCATCTTCCCGCATACAAATTTGTTATCCATTTATTAAATGAACATCCACCCAGATACATATAACAGAGCGTCTTTTTGCGACTGGGCTTGTATGGTTTGCCGGGTGTCGGCATTGCTAAAACGTTGCCCTCACTTACGATTTGTGATGGCATTGGTTGCTCATACAGGTAAACCGAAAAACGAACATGCATTTTGGATGGCTTTCTCATGTAACGTAACCTGAAACTGAATGCCGAGATGCGTAGAAGTGCTCTTGGAAAGATTTTACTTTATCACGAGCTCGGGTGGGGTCAATTTGTCTCCACGAAGGTTTCTCCGCAATGATTTCTGAACGGCGCGGCGTACCCGCGCCAATGGCATAGCTGTAGATAATTGAGTAGCAGATTGTTTGATATTAAAAAATTAGATGCATATTGTAAGGTCATTGATCGGTGGCAGGTCAGATTGAGGCCATTCATTCAGTGAAGACGGCTTCTAGAAAATCGTTCAGTCCAATACAATAACGGAGTGTTAAACGAAACCATACGTCTCTGTGAGAGCTTCCTAGGCAATTCAATAACTGAATTAGCAAATTCCATGGACTTATGGTCAGGGGCAAAGGCCAGATCGTGGTCAAAAGCAAGCTGATTTATTACTCTATTGCGTGCAGTATAGGGTACTTTCCGATGCTCACTTTGAAGTTATTGATAACGGGAACCGCATCACACATCTTCCATGGACCTCTTAAAGGTGAGCATAGGACATTGACCTAAATGATCCAGGTCAACGTTTTGTTTTTAGGGACATACCGCCTAGCGTCCTCCCTGATGCTTATTCAAATGCAAAAATAAAAAACAGTCTTGTATGATTTTGGTTACCATGACACTCGAAAGGTCACCCAAGGTCACTGACCTTAAGTCATCACCAGTGACTTTTGCTTAAAACAGGTATCCAGGTTCACGGTGGTTGCATGAGAAGATCCGGGGGCACTTTAGACACCTGTTTGGAATCTGATTTGCTTGATCTTACTTGACCCGAAGGTCGTGAATTAGGGTTAAATTTTGACGTAAGTAAACTCACGTACAGACCAATGCACCCCATGAACTTGTGGTTTCTAGTTCTCTTAGTTTCTGCGATCTCAGGGAAGTTAACTTGACCCCACCTGAGCGAGGGGTATTCAACCAGCCACTCGAGTGTGTGTTGTACGTTGCACTACCAAAATAATGCCTGGGGTACTGTACCGTTAACCGGTATTCGTTAACTACGTCTGTGCAAGCTCAAGCTATCCATTCCGGCTAGACTTCAGGGCTCATACATCTCACGTCCTGCTGGTATTAATACAGCGTCATATATCATACTTGTTTACGCCGTAAGTCTCGTCTTAATGCCCCACGACCAACGGTAGATCTAAAAGAGTGTAAAAGAACGCTAGCATATCGGATTAAGGGCTCGCCTGGCATCTGAACTTGTGCAGCGGGGCATTTGGCTGTCTGGCATAAATCCAGCACCACGTCTGATGTTGTGGACGGAACCTTTGCTACATGGTGGTAGCATCACATCTTCAGCACTACCATTGCGTTACGACGGCACGCCACATGCCACGCTTTGCCAGTGATGTTGTGTGTCATTACACTGAACGCCAAGCCGCACCATTGCGTTGCTAAAGTAAGTGTGGTAACGCTGTTTAGTTCCACCCGCTATATCCATCAACTTCAGAAAACGAAAGACACTTTTGGCCCGAGCTCATTGGGTGCTCGCCATGACAGACAGGCGCAGGCGTTATCTGGGTTGTAACGGCTGTGTTGCCGTGGCCCAAATCTTATTGCGGTCTTCAAACAAAGACCCCCGGCTAATCACTGCAGCATC